AATTGTTTGTACAAATATTGAGGAAAAAATGTGTCACGTGCCCATTTTGCAGCATGCCTCAGAAATTATGTGTATTTAAGTAGCAACAGATTAAAATTGAGAAATGCATTTACATAGAATACTGCCCACTTCTCCTACTTCATAATCAGTGAGGCTTACATCCTGTACAATCAGGGTTGACTCAGGGAAACAACTACCGAAGTTATTCTGATTTGTTTTGAATAAAGGATTTTGGAATATTTTAAGATTTTACAGAAAACAGGCAAAAATAATGCAGAGAGTTCCTGTTCTGTTTCTTTAATATTAACATCTCATGTAACCAGTATAACTTGTGAAAACTAACAGTGACACAGGAATACTAACTAAACTTCATTTGGAGTTCATCAATTAACCCACAAATGTCCTTTTTCCATTCTAGAATCCAGTGCAGGATATCACACTGCATTTAGTAATCTTGTTACCTTGTCTCTGATTAATGACAATTTCTCTGTCTTGTCTTATTCTTCATGACCTTGACAGTTTTGAAGAGAAGTGGTGAGGTATTTTGTAGAACGTCCCTAAACTTAGGTTTGTCTGATGTTTTCTCATTGTTAGAAATGGGATTATGGAATTTTGGGAAGAAAACAGCCCATTGATTTGCTTTTCAAAGATGAAATTCTAGATCTCATTTAAATTTCTACCAGTTTGTACAATATTGGTTTCTTTCTGTCCCAAGCTCCAATCCAGGGTTCCACATTGCATTTAACTGTCGCATGTTTAGTATCCTTTAATTTGTGAGTTTCTCGGGTTTTGCTTCTTTTTTCATGACCATGACAGTTTCGAGGAGGACTGGCCATGCAGCCTTTAGAATGTCAACCCAGCCGGGCTTGTCTGATAGTCTTCTCACAATTACATGGGGTTACGGTTAGGGCTTTTGGAAAGAATAGCCCAGAGGTGAAGTGCTCCTTTTATCACGTCACGTCTGAGGGCACGTGAACCACAGAGCATCCCTAGTGATGTCCAGCTCCTCCACCTGGTTAAGGTAGTTGATTGACTTCAGTGCAAAGCCCCCAGGGTATTTTTTGAAACAGCTTTTTGCAAGTCACATGCCACGCAACTCACTCGAGTCAGACAGATAAAGACTGATACCATATGCTTTTGCTAATATGTGGAATATAAAACACAGAAGAAATGAGCAAGCAAAACAGAAATAGAATCTTAAATACAGAGACAGGGTTGGTGGTTACTATAGGGGAGGGAGTACGTGAAGGGGATAAAGAGGTGCAAACTTCAAATCAGAACACTTATTAGTTGTGGGGATGAAAGAGCAGCATAGGGAAGATAGCCAACAATATTTTCATTTCTTTGTATGTGAGCACTTCACCGTGTACCTAATTGTCAAAATATACACCTGAAACCAATATAATATTGTATATCAACTATATTTCAATTTAAAAAACTTAAAAAGTGTGTGATTCATTGTTTTTTTTTTTGGTATAGTACATTACTAATTTTTAAAAATTGTAAAATATGCATAAATAAAATTTGCCATTTTGACCATTTTTAAGCTTATGATCCAGTGGAATGATGATATTTTGCAACCAAACCAACATCGCTATTTCTCCCCAGACAGAAACTCTGTGATCATGACTGTGGAGAAGGCAGAAACAAGAAACCTGTGATATTTTGAGTTTGATCCTTAGAGGACTTGCAGGCCCGGAGAGGAGCCGGAAAACATCTTGCTCAGACCCTGAGAGCGTCTGCAGGGCTCAGGGCCACTGACCAAGGGACAGAAATGCTTGTGCCTGCCCAGGTCCTTGGGAGCATCAGCTTGGCTAAAGACTGATTGCTATAAAACCCTAAAACTTTTTCCTTTCGGCGCTGTAGTCTCCCTGACTCAGCCCTTCACTCCCTCTGTGGTGAAGCCTTCTATGAAATCTTTCTGTCACGGGTCTTGACTCCTGCATTCCCTTGGATTTCTCGACCTAACAGTGATTACAGAGTATTGCGGATGTCCTCGTCCTCCCTGCCTCCAGCCCCCATTAACCTCTGATCGACTTTCTGTGTCTATGAATTTGCTTATTCTGGATACCTCCTATTTGTCCTTTGATGTCTGGCTCATTTCACTGAGCATAATGCTTGCAAGGTTCATCCATGGTGGAGAAGCACTCAAGGTATCGTATCAGAGAGAACTGAATATGGGAATTGATTAAACAAGTCGTGGAGAATGAAAAGCAAGATGGCAATACTCAGGGCAAAACAGAGGTAGTTCCTGTGGGAATCAGCTGGCCAAACTAGGTCTTGGGAACAAAATGAATATTTGAGGTTATCAGATTCCAGAAGCTTCCAGGAGGGTACCACATGGGTCTGGTGCCCATACCTTTGAGGAAAGGCTGCTGATGTATTTGAGGGGGCAGGGTGAGGGTGGTTATACATGGGTGGAAACTGGGGTGATCATGTATAGCTGGCCCCCAAAAGGAGGGAGATTCAAATTACACACCCCCTTCTCCTCCTGTCTCTCTCTTGTGTCTCATATTGTCAGAACCCAACAGGAAACCTGGGCTTAAGGAGCCAGACTTGAGGCCATGGGTGTGGACCATGGGCAAGGAAAGACAGCAGGAGGGTGATTGTTTAATTAATTGGCTGAGATGAGGGTGACCTCATTTTCCATAACTGATCATCTGTAAGAACAACTTCATAAACAACTGACATATTTTATCCCCCAAATAACCCAAGCGATCAGAATGAAGATGAACCAGTTTGTGTTCCAAGTTCTTACAGTTAGATGTCTCATCACTTTTCTTGTGTCTTACGCTGAACTGGGGGCTTTTGAAATGGCTGAAGTCATTAATTCCTTATGTCTCCCTTATAAGTGGATTCATTGTTTAGAATTTTAAAAATATTAAAATTTTTTCCCTCCTTTATTGAGGCATCATTGACATATTACCTTGGGTTAGTTTAAGGTATATAATGTGATGATTTGAAACACATATGTATTGTGAAATGACTGGATAAACTTTTCACATGGTTCAACGTAAGCTACTCATAGTTACAGAAAGTGGATTTGTTTTTATCTTCTGGATCCTGTCAGTTGCCTATTTGGCTGCTGGGAACCTCAGAACATCTTTCATTATCATGTGTGCTTTTAACCTGGTTCCCCTACATAGGCCTTCAACCCTGTGTATCAGTCAGCACAGGTTGTGTTATGCGACAGTGACAAATTATCCCCAAACTCACTGGCTTATGACAACAGTGGTCTAGTATTGGAGGAGGGAAGCTAGATTTTAAGTGAGTAATAGCATAACCGAAGACATAATTTTAAAGTGTGACTTGTGGTTTGAAGAAAAAGTCTACACAGAATTGTAAATGTTGATCTTCTCAGGGGTTATGGCAAAGAGACATCCATGAAGAAATGATACTTGAGATTAATATGAAGGATAAAGAGGTGGCTGGGAGTAGTAATGTAGGCAGAGGGTCCTAAGCTGAAAAAAAAGCTTATTTGGGGGAAAAAAAGGGCAGAGACTGGGGCAGAAAGAGACAAGGGGATAGGGACAGAGAAGAGAACTTGGGACCTAGAAGTCAAATTAGATTTTCCTTACCCACAGAGCACGATCACCGAAAGATATTGAAAAGATGCGTGGCAGGTCAGATTTTCATTTTAGAACAACCATTCTAGCTGCTGCTGGAGAATGGCTGGAGAGCAGATGATGGACAGACATGGGTTTGCTGTGGAGCTGACACAGCATAAGCTGGAGGGACCTCTGTTTTGTGGGGCCCTCCACGGCCTGGGAATGCGTGCATGTGGTTATGCTGATTCTGTGTGGGTGTTTTGAATTTCTCCTCAGAGGCCCTCCTCTTGAATCAATCATATGGGCCCTGCATAATCTGGATCTGCCCCTGATACTTTATCATACATTTTCAGGATAACCTTTGAAATCCTTACTGAATACTTGTGGGGGGGCGCGGAGTTCTTCTCAAGGGTCTTGAAGGACGAAGCTGCAGATTCTGCCTGTTGATCAAGTATGGTTCTTGCCAATTAGCAGCTCTGGCTGATGTCAGCAGAATGGGGACGTGTCGGAAGGACATTAGGGTGCAGGTCGACACACTCCTCTAAAAGCCCAGATAATAAGTATTTTCAGCTCTGCAGGCCATATGCTGTCTGTTGCAACCACTCAAGTCTCCCATTGCAGAGTAAAAGGAGCCATTGACAATGTGTAAATGGGTGAGTATGACTGTGTCTAAATAAAGCTTTATTTATTAAAACAGGCTGCACGCTGAGTTTGGTGAGCAGGCCATAGCTTGCTGACTTTTCAGAGACCGTGAAATCCTTGGGGGTTTGGACCACAGGTTTGCACATGGGTGGGTATATAGGACTCAGTATATGCATCACCCAGATCTGCTGGGCCCGGCGTGCCCATCCCTGCCTCCAACACTTGTTCTCCATTCCCATGGATAAAGCCCTGACTCCCACAATGGCTACAGCTGCCCCATAGAATGAGGGACCCTGGGTTTACTACATAGGAACTTGGTGACCTTGGACAAGTCACTCCCTAATGAAGGGGTTCAACTGGATCAGGAAGGACATGCCCATGCTTCCTGAGGTGCTGAGTAAAGTAAGACTTTGGGGTGACACCCGAGTTCAGTAGGAAAGAAGGTGTGATTGATTAGTCACAACTGCCAAGGGCATCTAGCTAGAGTGAGATAGCACACTTGCTCAGTATTCGTGATCCTGTAACTAGCTGATCTCCAATGTCCCAAATGGTTCTGAAAAGCTGCATTTCTGTGTCTGGATACTTTCTTAGAAACATTCTGGAGATGGAAGATCATGTAAATATAGCCACTTGGCATAGTTACAAATTACCAACACACCTGCTTTTATGAAAAAGATGGGAGGAGGCTCCTGATTCTATGTTAGACACACCTGGGAGGCAGCTGGCCATTGGGAAAGAGAAACCAAGCCCATAACACCTTTCACATAGGCCTCACAGCTTTAAGCACTGAGTGAAGATTGCAGCACATTCTTTTAAGGTTTGACAACTGTTTATTGAACACCCATTAGCTAATCAAAGACTTGTTCCCCGTCTTCAAGAAACTGTGATCCTCGGTGTCTCATCCTGGGTGCGATAGAGCAGCATCAACTGGAAAGAACTGGGTAAATGGTGGGGGGGGGGCAACGGCTCAGGAAGCGTGGCTGCGTAAGAGGACAGTGGCTTTGCTGGAAGGGTGAGTTAATGGCTGGGGAGGTGGGAGATGAGTTCACTGATTGCTGGTAGGAAGTGGAACGGTAAGGGTGTGAGAGGTTGGCTTTGGTCTTTCAATAATGGGGCACTGTTTTGTCTTCCTGAGGTTTCCAAGACCAAGAACTGTAGGTGGTACAGAGGACGGACAAAGGGTGAGGTGAGCAGGCCGAGAGGCAAGGAAGCAAGCGGGTGCCAAGAGGCAGACATGAGGGGTTGAACCTCAAGTACGACAGGTAAGGGGAGAAAAGACAGGTAGGAGAACCTGTTTCAGACTCAGGTGGAGCTGCACATGGTGGCCCATGAAGGATGCACGTAGAGGGGAGTCAGAATTCCACACCTGGGCTCTGAGGCTGAGGGTGTGGGGAACACTGGGAGCAGGGGCTGGGGAGAAAATGCTCATCTTTAGCCATGAATTTTCAATGATGGTGGGTATGCCCATGGGTTATTTCAGGGGGAATGGTCAGGGCTGGAGATGGGGAGACATGCATCACCCACCTGGAAGGCAGTGCCTCTGCTCCCGGTTCTAGCCAAGCACCGGAATCCCATGGAGGTAACCTTGACTCCTGGTTATCAAGGATTTTTAGAAGTCTTCCCAGGACCTCCTACCTCCAGGCAGGGAGAACATTTTTTTATGCATTTCGTCTAACTAGAAAAGTTTTCTGATGGTTCAAGGCCTAACAGGCAGGCAATGGCAAGCGGGGTAGGCTGGAAGCCAGACCTTGGCCCTCACACTGATTTACTGTGTGGCATTTGACGAGCCATTTAACCTCTCTGGGCTTCTATCATGCTGTCTGAAAAATAACAGAGTGACCCCAGGGGATTTGTCATAGCTCCAAGACAGTCTGATTCAGAGCGATTGAAATTTGAAGCCATGAAATGGATGAATAGATGGATTTTCTTGGAAAGGTCAGAGTTCAGGGCTTGTGGTGGTGGTGGGGGGCATTCGTTAGGAGGGACAGATTGCAGAAAAGGAGGAAGTAGCTCTATTAGCCAGAGGGAGCCCATGAGTTAGGAAGAAAATGGTGTCAAGGCACGAGCTTGCTAAGCCAAGGAAAAGGAGGGAGACGAGAGGAAATCTCTAGGAGATGGAACAGGTGAGGTTCTCAGGAGGAGGTTTTTGACTCCATGTGAGATTCGGAGCCAGGAAAGGTGTGATCAGGACGGGGCAGTGGTGGGTTGGCATCGGCTGGTCAGTGGGAATCTCGAGCTTTGTCCAGGTGCATTTGTGCGGGTGTGATTCGTGGGACAAAGAAGCCCTTCGGTTTCAGCCGAGACCAGGAGCAGAAGCCCGGGTAGGGGAACGTGTCCGCAGGTCACATTCACAGAGGCAGAGATGCCAGCCTGTTCTTAATGGTACCGCTGTGCCCCACGCTCAGTGTCAGCTGTCTTGCTCTAGGGACACGGGTGGATTGGAGGAGGACCAGCAGAAGGGGTATGATAAAGGAGGGGCTGGGTGCCATTTGACCTTGGGAAGAGAAGATTTTGGGGAGCGGGGAGAGCTCCCTCTACATATCTGTGAGGCATCTGCTTCTACTGCAGATAGAGCTGTTTCCGCAGGGTGCTTTCGATTTCGGGGTTCACCTTCCTTGCTTTTCCTTCCTGAATCACCTCAGCCTCCGCCATCAACCGGGTCACCTGCAGCAAGAGGTGCGGTCAGCCTGGGCCTAGGCCCCTGGGGGAGCCGGCCCGATGGGTTTATGGGGGGAGGATTAGGGAAAGGGGCAGGTGCTTCTTCGGGTCCTAAAATGGGGGCCGTTATTGTCTTACCTGACGTAATTTCTGTGGAACCACTGGTTGGACATTCTTGTTATTTTATTTTATTTTCTAATCCACCATAAAAGCACATCACCATTAGAAATAGTGCCTACATTGGTTAAAACCTGATGGTTTTGTTTGCAGAAACGTATCTGTATTTCTTCTAAATTATCTCACCTATTGCGGGCTTTGAAAATCTCTGCGTCCCGTAAAGTCTTTGCTTGGGGGATGGGCATTCTAGTGTCTGTGTTCAGACCCAGGCTGGATTTGGGGCTGGCGGGCGGGGCAGGGAGGCGAGAAATGGGGGGAAATGCAGAAAGGTTTGGGAGAGCCTCAGCCTACTCTGCTTGCTTCCGGCTCGGGTGGGGGGTCCGGGTAACCTGTCCCAGCTCACCTCCGTCAGAAGCTCCAGGATGGATCCCTTCTTCTCTGTGAGCACTTTAACCAGGGTCTGGATGAAGCAGGAGCCCTTCTCCTCACTCCTGTAGGCGAGGTACCCTGGGGATCCCAAGGGCGTGAGCTCAGGGGCGCTCCAGCGGGGGTGGGACTCTGGGGGTGCGAGACCCCAGCGGAGGACGGGCCCGAGCAGCGTCCCCGGCCGGGCATCGTGGGCACAGCAGAGGAGCAGGGAGCTCGTACCTTCAACGGTGGAGTAGACGTGGAGGGTGTCCGTGTACGTGGGGATGGTTTGGGTTTTGTCTTTAATCATCGCAATACTGTCTCCACCTACGACCTCACCGGAGTCCTTTCTTTCTGAAACACCAAGAAGAGGAAAAGAGAGTCAGAGAGGAGGTTGGGGAAAGGAGGAGGTCCTGCACCGCGAGGCCCGGCTGGAGCCCTGCGCCGGAGGTGGGCCCGGTGAGGGGCACAGGCTCCTCTTAGCTCTGTCCCCACCTCCTCGACAGGCCTGCACGATGTACACCTTAGGCTTTGCCCTCAGGGCCCGGCAGTTCTTGTTGTTCAGAACATTGAAGAGGTTCTCCAGCTTCACCATCTTCCCATCCTCCCCCTTGAGGAGCCCTTCTTGGCCATGCGCCATGAGCACCACGAAGGCGCAGCTGATGAAGTCCTCCCGGGCATCCATGTCCCGCTGGAATTTATCCAGTTCTTCCTGGAATTGCTGCAGCAAGGGGAACAGCGAGTCTCAGGAGGGGTCCTAGCGTCCAGGTGGTGGCCCAGCCCCCTCCCACGCTGGCCTGAGGCCGGCAGCACCGTACCTCGGCGGTGGGATCTTTCTTGACGGTGCTTTCAAATTTCAGCTGATGGAACATCCGTTTCAGGGCTGCCAGGTCTTCCTCTGAACCTTCCCGGGCTTTGGTAACACACAGTGTCAGGGCCAGACGGGCGCCTGACATGTCATACCTTTCCTGGGCCAAGACATGACAAAAAATCATCAGAGGCCAAGGAGAAGCAGGAGATACAGTGAGGGTTGCCAGGTCAAATGCAGGATGCTCAGTTACAATCAAATTTCAGATGGAAAAAAATACATATTTTTAGTATAAGTGTGTGCCAGATGTTGCATGGGGTGTACTTACGCTAAAGAGGTTGTTGTTGACGTGAATTCAGATTTGACTGCGCATCCTTTGTTTTTTGTTTGCTGAAGTTGGCTACGCAGCCTGGGATCTGGCTCTGTTGGTCCTTTATTCCCCCTCCACTGTCTCTGAAACACGGAAGCCCTCCCTCCCCCTGACCCCAGACGCCCCCAGCACTCCCGCTCCGATCTGCACTCAGCCCACCTCCTTTAAAGGCTGAGGATTGCTCATGTTTCTTCTGGTCCTGAGTCCAGCTCTCGGCACTCTCAGTCGATCCTGGGGAGGTCAAGAGAAGGTAAGTTGAAGCTCTCTGGAGGAAGGCAGAGGGGCTCGGGGGACAGGCTAGTTCGAATGTCTGAATTTTTGAGACTGAATAGGGACCCAGTAGTGGGGACTAGGTTCATGCTCAGACCTGAGCAAGATAAGACAGTCCACGAAGGGTGTCCCCTGTCATGCGACTCCTGCGGTGTTGACCATGCCAGGGTGTCCTCAGAACTCCTGCTAGGCCCACCCTACAATGCCATCCATCTAGAACCTTCCTGATCCCTCCCTGGGGACACTCGTCAACCAGCCTGTGACAGACTGGACTTCCCCTTGGAGGCTCTGGACTGATGAGGGAGCACCTGGCCCCATGTACTCCTTTCTGCTCCCCAGAAGCTGACTGGCTGGGGAGGCACCATCAAGGATGTGCTTGGGGTTGGGTTTAAAATGAGAAAGTCATCAAGGTAAGGAATGCTGCTTTGGAACTATCCCAGTGGGTCTCTAACCGGGGCAGATCTAAGCACCTGCCTCCCTCTGCCTAGAGCCCAAACATCCATCCACGTTCTTTCTTCTTATCTGTATTCTGTTCTGCTCTCCAGCTGAACACAATGACTTTCTGTCACACCCTTGGAGTTGTTCCGTCTCCTCACTATCTCACTATTTCCTACATTTCCTCTGCAGCTTGGAATGCTTCTTTCCCCACTCATCCACTTTATCCATCCATCCATCCATCATCCATCCATCCGTCCACCCATCCACTTATCCATCCACCCATCCACTTATCCATCCAACCACCAGTGGGTAGGTAGATAAATCTATCCAGAAAACATTTTCAGGGTGCTTATTGTGTACTGGCACTGGGAATACACTACATCAGACATTCTCTGTGCATGAGGATGTAGCTCTAGTCTATGACAGAAATGAACACCAAATCTCTCTGTATCTGTTACACACACACACACACACACACACGTGCACGTGCGCGAGCGTGCACATGCACACACGCACGCACTGGAGCCTGTGCTGTGAGCCAAGAAGAAACCATCACTGTGAGAGAAAGTGGAGGAAGCATGAGCCCTGGAGCCAGATAAGACAGAATCAAGTCCTGCCTCTGCCCCTTCCCGACGGTGTGACCCCGAGCACCTCACTCCTCTCTGAGGCTCTGTATTCCCCTCTAATAAGGACCTTGCAAGAGCTCTGGATGCTTTAAGCAATGGTACGCTTTATGATGACCCCTGTAACCCACTGGAAGCCGCCGCTACCTTCTCCAGACTCCCAACAGCTCTGCCTGTTACTACCTGTGTCACAGCGGTTTTTTCTATTCTTATTCTAGCGGCTGAACTGGCAACTCACTTTTTAGGGCTGGAAGCCTGGTTCCTTGGTCTCTTGTCTCCAGCAGGGTCACCAGTATGGGAATGGGCACAGAGGTGGCGCCAGGGAGAATTTGTTGAGTCAATAAATGATAAACAAATGAACGTATGAAAGGCAGGATGGATGGGTGGATGGAAGTTTCTTCGGTTCTTTCCAAACTGGCCAGAACATTTATTCACGCGGCGGGAGGGAGACAATGAGAATGACAGGGTGAGTGAGAGGGAGAGAGGAGAGGCCGCACATCTCCCAAATCACTTACTGCCTCCAGATGCTGCTGCTCCTTAAAGCGGGGCCAGGGCTTGCCACCCTTCGAGCTGCCGGCAGGGCTGGGCACCGGGGAGGACTCAGGCCCAGCTGCTGCCCTGGGAGACGCGCCGACAGCGCGGGACCTTCCCGAGTCCCTCCCGAGAGGCCTGTCGGTGAACTGGGCGGCACAGGCCCTTTATTGCCAGCGAGTTTGCTGTCACTAAGGAAACCTCGTGACAGAAGGGACACACCCTTGGCACGGCCTTGGTGAGAAAATGGAGCCGAGCGCCGGTGGGATGAATCATGGCACAGCTCAGCCAACACCCCCCAGCTGAGGCTGCGGCAGAGCCCTCAGCTCTGCCGGGGCTGTCAGGCCAGCCCAGCCTCCAAGCGCCAGGTCCAGCTTACCTGGCTCTCACCTGTCCGTTCTTATGCCCACTTCCACCCCTTCTGCATCCAGCTGTGCAGATACTACCAGCCTCACATGTCTACTATCTCATCGCGTGGTTGGCGGCCCCACAAGATCGGCATCGTTACTTCCACTTTGCGGATGAGGAAACGAGGGCCTCCTGGAGGCGGCTGACCAGGTCGTCATGACCAGTCACTGGCATTCGTCCGGCCCGGCTGCCTCAACTGTTGGTTCATAGCTGACTCAGCTCCTGTCTTCTCTTCCTCACGGCCTTTCGCCTCTATTCTTTTTTCAGCCTTTGTTTCATTCTGCTTTGCTTCCCTTTACGTTATATTATTTTATGCGAACAGCTTTAAGGAGCTATCATTAACATACCATGCAATTTCCCCATGTAAAGTGCACAAGCCAGTGGTTTGTATTACATTCACAGAGCTGTGCAGCCATCACCACCGTCAGTTTTAGAACGTTTTCATCATCTCAAAAAGAAACCCCGTGCCCTTTAGTCATTACCCCTGACCCCGACTCCCCCATACCTGGCGGCCTTAGGTAACTGCTAATCTACTCTCTGCATCTATAGATTGCCCTGCTCTGGACAGTTCACATGGATGGAATAATGTCATATGTGGTCTTTTGTGTTTGACTTCTTTCACTTAGCATATTTTTAAGGTTTACCCAATCTGTCGTGTATTGATCCATCATCTATCTAATCTATCAATTACCTGTCTAAGGATCTATCCATATTTACCTAATCATCTGTTATCTATATCCTATCTATCTATCTATCTATCTATCTATCTATCTATCTATCTATCTATCTATCTATCTATCTATTATCTATCTATCACCACCTATCTATCATCTATCATTTATATCTATCTATCTTTATTTATATCTTTATATTGTATCCACGTATTTCCTACTCCCTCAAAACCAATTTTTGCCCTTTTGGAGGTAAAATATTGCTCTTACTGAGGACATGTGCTTTATAGTATTCTATCATTGATGGGCATCCGGGGAGTTCCTAGTTTTTTTGGAGGTTAGGAGCTATGGAGCACATCTAGTCCATGCTTTTCAATGAGTAAGTGCACACATTTTTGTTGGGTATACATTTAGAAGTGGAACTTTGACGTGGTCCAGCCGCGCCGAGTCGAACCGGACCTGGCGAGAGGGGGGTGAGACTGGAGAAAAAAGAGAAGACAGGCAGACCTGGGAGGGCTGATGCTCCTGTGCGTCCCAGCAAAGCTTTATTGGGTACCAGGGTATTTATACAGCAAAGAGATACATGATTCCAGAAAATAGCCTTATCTAATAAACAGCCAAGCACAATTTTGACGGCAGCGGCAGCCCGGCAAAGTTAAGAACAATAAGGCTCCTTCAGTTCCTCATGGAATGCATAAACAGGTTGTTCTTTGTTCTCCATTCCTGCCACACCAGAAGCAGGGGTGGTGTTTTCACACATCCTCAAGGTCTCCCTATCTCCAGAGTGAGGAGTCTTGGCTGGTCTTCGAGGACAGGATGTGTGTGTGGGCAGATAACTTCCAAGGACTGCACCAGTTGTTCTCAAGCTTGTGCTTTCCCATGCTGCATTCAGACATGGGGGAAGGTGCTTTCCCATTCTGCCTACAGACATGTGAGAAGACAAAGGCGGTCCCCAACAGAACTTGCTGGACGATCAGGAATGTATAAGACGGCTTTAGCAACCATTGCGGAACCGTTTTTCAAAGGGTTGTACTACTTGGGCCTTCCCACCAGCAGAGCACAAGGGCTCCAGACCCATGCTCCCCATCTTCTTCATTTTGGTCATTCAGAAAAAGCCACATCATCGGTTTTATAAACTGCACAATATCCCGTAGAATGGATACACACAGTAGCTTGTTTGGTGATGCCCCTGCTGATGGACATTTCAAGCATTTCCAGTTTTTTTTGCCATGACAAATAATTCTGCCATGAGCAGCCTTTTACATTTCTCTGTAGGCACAAGAATGTGCCTTTTCCAGAGGAGAGGTTCATTAGAAGCGGGATTATTGGTTCAAGGGGCACAGGCATCAAATTTTTTAATGAATTCTCACTGCCACTTGTTTTCTCCCAAAACTTTCACACTTCGCTTTCCATGTCAAACAATAGATGAAAGCGTGCCCGTTTCTCAGATCACCAGCAACACAGGATATTCCCCCTAAATCTCAGTTTTCTCATGTGATGGAGACCTACCTTCTAGGGCTGCTGGGGAGGATCAGAGATGTCTTGTATGTGAAGCACCCAGCACTGCTAGTTCCTGGCATATAGGAGAATGCTATTTTTTCTTTCCCATCTCTCCCTCTTCCTTGTCCGACTTCTCCTCCCCCTCCATTCAATTCGCCCAACACACATTTATCGGGCATTGTGTCTGATGCTGGGTCAACACTGGTAAATCAAACTGAGGTAGCCTCCATCTCTGTGAAGATTATGATCTCATCTTATCACCAGCAGCATTCACAGATCTTGCAAAGTGTCTCATTATTCCTAGCACTGTAACAAGTGTTAAGTACAGAACATGTCCCAACCGTGAGTTTTCTGTGCAGAGGTAGAGCATGGTGGCTGTTGGGCGATGTATGCAAAACATGTAGGTGTCTTCACAATGACCTAGGAAATGTGTGACTGCTCCCCAAGGGGGTAGAGCAGACACACATCAGGAATGAACGGGATCATCTACAAAGACTGGGAGGTGTGCCATCACCTTGTTCCACTATGGTGTGAAAAGCACACCGCGTTCGTTGGAAGAGAAAAAAAAATAGAGAAAAACCTAATCAGACCGGACCCAGCATTCCATGCGGAACATTTTAACCAACTATGCTTCTGCCGCCTTCTTCTTTCTTGAAATCTCATTCTTTCAGAGTCTGGTCCATTAGGAAGACTGGATCTTAGGGGAAGGAATTAAGAATGTGGGTGTTTGCAATGGTGTGCTGGAAAATGTCTGACAACTGGTTTGCTCTCAACAAACCTGTAACAAAAACCGAAAAAAAGGCCTGATCTGTAGTGTTTGCTCATTTCCATGGTGTAAATACTTCCATGATACTGATTTCAGTTGCAAGCATTCAGTGCTGCACTGAATTTGGAGTTGGGAAGACCTGGCTGCAGCACACCACTGAGTGTCTCAGAGGGAGTCCTTCAGAGGGTCCAGCCCCAAACTCCCTGGACTGAAAGGGTATTTCCTTCTGCAGGAAAGCAGGTGGCTCCAGACATCCCAATTCCTGCGGGCAGGGCCATGTCTCAACATGTCACTCAGAGCTATAGTAGGTGCACAAGAAAGAAGAGCTGGGTAGGTGAATGCCCCAGGATGCCCGATTTTCTCCTGAAATGATGAGTGGCAGAGATGAGTCCTCATCAATTCCTCCTCAGCCCATCAGTGATGAGACTTCAGAAAGTCCTGGTTCCTCTAATGAGATGTGTATTTCCACAATGTCAATGTGTAAGAGAAGGCTGTTTCACTGTGGGCTGCATTAACTACTAATTCATTAACCAACTAGTTAAATTGATTAATTATAATAATTAGAGTTACTTGACAATTAGCCAGAGAAAGACAACCTGGTATAAAGACTCCATGGAGGGGTGCATGCCCAGGGGTCATAGGGTGGCAGGTTGGAGTCCCAGCAGACCTGGCATTTCATCCAAGACCCGAGGAATGAGTAGGGGCTTTCTAGGTGGGCACAGGGGAGAAGCAGCCCAGGCAGAGTATCCCAGCATGGGTAAGAGAAGAGGTGAATGGGGAGCTCGCTGGATTCCAGGTACCATGCCTGCTTCCCTGTGACTGGAGAACCGAGTAGAAGGGTCGGCAGTGGTAAGACGTGAGTCCAGGTGGTAAGAGGTGAGTCCATGATGGGGCTCGAAGCCGCTCTAGGCCATCTGGATTTGTCGGGGTTATAGGGAGACTACCCATCCTGGTTTTTCCAGGGCTTACGGGTTTTCTGGGATGTGGAGATTTTAGTGTTAAAAACCCAGAGAAGTCCCATAGGCAAAGCAAAATGAGTCGGCGCCTTATCCAAAAGGCTCCGGGAAAGACTGAAGAATTGCGAACTGAGAGTAATATTACTCATTTTTTAATTAATTAATTAATTAATTAACTAATTAATTAATTAATTTGTTTTTAGTGAAGTATAATTGATATACAATTTATTAATTTTTATTGAAGTATAGTTGATATACAATGTTATATGAGTTTCAAGGATATGAGAACTCTGGGTTGTTAAAAGATCAATCAGAGCTCAGGTAAAATGAAGCTTCTGTGGGCAGCTGTGTCTGAACCCTCCTGCACCAGGTCAGACCCCAACACCCAGGGCTCCGTCCACTTCTCTGGGTAGTCACATTGCTCTTACGATGTTGGTTTGATGTCTGCCTTCCCCAAAGGGCAGCTGGCTGTGTGGTGTTTACTCAGAACCCAGCATGACTCATGAAAAACAGTCAATAAATATCTGTGAATTGGGAGCAAATGCCTAGCATTGTTGGAATGGACACTTATGTTCCTTAACCCTATGGGTATAAACTGGGAATAATACCACCTCCCTCTTCAAGACTATAGTATGAAAACATCTAACACAAGCGTTGGAGGGTGGGCTCAAGAACAGATGCTCAAGAAATCGGAGGGGAGTGTGCATCAGAAAGGTGAAGCAGGACAGGGTAAGTCACCACGGCTGGAACAACTGTTAATTAATCAGCCGATTAAATTGGTGAACTGTATTTATTTTTACTAATTTAATAGTTGCCCAATTTTATTATTCAATGACATTTTATTGTTTT